GGGGCAGCGAGGGAGGGATCCCCGGGATCCCGGGACCCCCGTGCGGTGTGGGACCCTCCACCACCGAGGGATTTGTCACCCCAGCAGCCCTGAGGCACATCCCGGCCCCGCACTGCCGCAAGTCCCGCTCCATCCCAACACCCAGCTAGCTCTCTCGAGGGAAATTGCCCCTTGCAGCTGTGACCATTTCTTTGTGAATCCCCGCTCTGTGCCCTATGGAACACCCAAAATGCTCCCAAAGCATGTGGATGCTGCCCAGGGCACACCATGCCCTGACAGTGAACACTTTGGGCACGTACCAGCCCGCTGGCTTTAACCAGGGGCGCCTCCAGGTCCGGGTAGACGTTCTCCAGGTACCAGCGGAAGCTCTGGCAGCGCAGCTTCTCCCGCAGCCGCATTTGCTGGCTCAGGTCACCCACGTCCACGTTTTTCAGGAGCAGGTGGTAAGCGTGGCCGTAGAAGAGCTCCTTGTACTCGTCCAGCCACACCTCTGCCACGCGGGCCAGGTTCCTCTCCACCGTGCTCACCCGGTCTTTTGGGAAGGAATAAGGATTGTCATTCCTGAAAATATGCCCAACTCTGGAGCAGGGGACTATCTCGATCTCTCCTCCGCACATCCAGACCTGAGAAACAGATGTCACTGACAGAAACACGAGCTGATGTTGGGCGCTGGCTTTGTGCGAGCCAGGAGAGAAGCAGAAAATCAGGGCCAGGGCAGAGGGGGAGCTGTCCCCATCCCTGGGGAGCCCCTGCCCGAGCCCCACCACCCACCCGGGCTGGCAGGGGTACAGGCACGGGACAGGGACCTACCTTGAACGAAATCTCCATGTTTTCCCCTCCCCAGACATCCAGYCCCGGGTCGTACATTCCCAACTCAAAAAAATATTTCTTATCGATGGAGAACAGGCCACCTGCCATGACRGGGCACCTGGGAACAGAGATGGAGTGTCAGTGACAGAGATGGCATTTGGATGGCTTTACCTGGCTGTAATGGGGCAGGGAAGGGAAAAGGCAGTGAATTCTCTCCCACCAGCAGTGCCATGAGTTGGGGAAAGGCTCCCTGGGCTTTGCCCGTGCCTGCTGGTGGGATTGCACAGCACACCATGCCCCAAGTGTCCTGGAAAACACAGGAACAACACCTGGCCAAGAAGGAACAACATTCGTCCTCAAATGACCCTTTGCTGCTAAATTATTACCAAAGGAACAGGCAGGTATGCAAAGCTCTCTCACATTTGCTTTGTTTTTACCTTATTATATCAGTCTCCTTGATTTTATTTTTCTCAATGACCTCTTGTGGAATCTGCTTCCATCCAAAATTCATYGGCCAAGTAAAAATCCCACGCTGGAAGTTGTCCACCGTCATGTAACTGAACAGAGAAAAGATTGGGCTGACTAATTCTGAGTCACATTCCTGATTGAAATGTCACCCCTAATGAGTGAAGATGAGTATCTGAAGGTAATTAAACCAGGATTTTAACAAATTTCATCAGGAATCCTCTTCATGCGCTACAAGTTGTGAAAAAGCAGAAATGTGTGTGACGAACACGGGCCACGGGCACAGTGATGCTCCTTTGTGGGGCACAGCAACGCTCCGTGTGCCCTGTGGAAGGAAAGCTGCGGGGTCACCCCGCCTGAAATCACCCAGTAAAAGGCTTCTCTTAGACCCCTGCAGGGGCTGTGGGATCGGCTCACCTCATGTCCTTGTCGCTGATGACCTCGATGACRGGACAGGCCACCTTGGTGCGGCGCAGGCGGACCCTGTCCAGCAGCGGCTCCAGCCATCCCACATTGCACTCCACGTGCGAGTCCAGGAATGTCAGCACAGCGCCTGTGGCAGAGCCGGGAGGGTCAGTGCCCTGCTGAACGGGCACCCCGGGGGCTCAGGGTGCTGCTGCCACTGTGCCAAGGCCCTCCCTGGATCCCCAGCCCTGCCCAAGCACAGCCAAGAGCACTTTCCCTGCTTGGCAGGGCAGGTCCCAGCAGGAACCGTCATTTCAGTGCTGACAGGGCCTGGCTGGGGCAGCTGGTGGAGCTGAGGATGGAGATCCCAACGACCCCAGCGCGGGGAGGGGTCCCCAGCACCTCTGGGATCCCAAAACTGTTCCCATCCTACCTTTGGCGATCTCTGCTCCCGCCAGCCTGGCCCGGATCAGACCGTGCCGCTCCTTGAGACGCAGGATCTTCACCTTGGGGAACTGTGCCATGTATTTGTCCAGCTGCTCCTTCAGGTACTCTGCAGAGAGGAGAGGCAGAGCCCGACTCAGCCATTTCCACGCACCCACAGCGACAAAGCCAYGAGCAGCTTTGCCCTGGCAGCACCTCCAGGCACAGCAGGTCTGGGGTGAGAACATTTGGGCAGTGCACGGCTCTGGGTGCGTGGGGTGAGCTCTGCAGCCCCTCTGAGACTTCTGCAGAGCCAGCAGTGGGGAAATCACAGCACTCCTTCTAAAGGAATGAAGGAGAAAATGTGATTTCTCTCCTATTCAGAATCGAATTACAGGGAACAAACTGCATTTTGCCCTCGAGTTATATTAGTTTCATAAAGGCAGCAGAAGCTTCACCCACCCTTGGTGCTGAAGTCGTCGACCAAAATGATTTCCTCGATGAGGTGCGGGGGAGAGCGGCCGAGGACGCTGTGCACGGAGCGCAGCAGGGTGGACCACACCTCATCCACGAAGCACATGATGATGCTGGTGGTGGGGAGGTCATCGTGGACCTGCTGCTCRGGACACCTGCAACAGCAGCGCGGGGTCACGGGGGATGGCCACTCACACTCCCGAAAACCTGGGGTGTGGGGGAACGGGGCCCCACAGACCCTGATTCTGAAACTCAGGCAATTATTGTGTA